TACTTCAGTAATAATTCTTTATTAATGACTCATATATTAAATATTAACTTCTAATAACAATAACAATAAATAATATAATAACTAAAATACTTAAATAAAGGTTTCTAAACTATATTTCTATTATAACTATATTTCTTTAATAAACTTAGTAATATTCCTGTAACTCCGGGTGGAGCTCTAACTGTAACCATCTTTCAGATAGGGGTTCCATCACAAATATTTGAAATATAGCAATAATTCTAAATTCAATTCAAATTTATTATAATAATCATAAACATATTTCACATTTATTAGAAAAAGACAAACATATATTATTTTATAATTATCATAAAATTTAGACACATTTTTAATTTAAATAATCACACATCTATTATTTATATTTATCATCAATTGTAAACACATTTTTAAAATTAAATATTTTTTAAAATTAAAATAATATTTTTCAGTATAAATTAAAATTCAAAAATAATTTTTAGTCAGAGAGAAAATAATATAGAGAAAGTAATAAGTAATAGTTTAGTTATAGAATTTATAAATAATAATAATTAGTAATTTTTAGTTTTAATAAAGATTTGTTATTTTTTAAAATATAATTTTTTAAATATTTTTATATATTTATTTTGGTTTTATTATATTTTATTTTATCTTTATTTTGTGTTTTATTATTATTATAATTAATTACATTTAGTTTATAATACATTTTGTTTTGTAATTAATTCATTATATTAGAGTTCTTAAATATAACAACAGTTATATTACATTTAGCGACAGCTCAGTTATATTACATATTATTTAGCTACCCCACCCGAGGATTTCTATTAATATTGATCTCAATCGCCATCATTGCGCCATCATTCCACGTGCACCATAGTCAGATATTTATCAAGATAACTATTTATTCAAAGAATCCTTTATTATAGATATATTTACTCAAGATATCTTTTATTATAATAGATATTTATTTATTCCAAGAATCATATAATAATCATTTAAACCGACTATTTTATAAACAGTATAGATAACCTAAATTCATAATCAATTTCTTTAGAGGTTTATTTTCATTACTTAATAAAACATAATTAATATTACTTTATCTATCTAATATTTACTTTTGTGTTTAGTTTACTTTATATTTATATTTAATCACTTTTTACAACAATAGTACATTATAACAAAAATATTATATAACGGTTTTATACAACAGCCATAAAAAAAAATTTAAATTTTTTAACAAACAAATAATAAATAATAAAATACCTTATAATGAGACTTTTTGGGTTAAAACTATCGTTATTGATAATATTGATAATATTAATAATATTGATATAATGATCTTTATTTATGAATTTTTATGCCTTTTTTTTGGGGGATTATTTTTTGAAAAATATTAAAAAAATTAAAAAAAATAAATTTTAAAATTTCATTTAACAAAAAAAATATAAAAAATCGTATAAGTTTATCTTTAAATATTTTTAAAATGGATTTATAGTCAAAAACCTAAGATAAGATTAAAATTTAAATTTTTTTCTTATATTTTTTATTAGGGGGTCAAAACTTTTGCGAACAACTGTATTTAAGAACCCCGAAATAATGAATAAATTATTAAACAAAATGTATTATAAACTAAATGTAATTAATTATAATAATAATACAACACAAAATAAAGATAAAACAAAATATAATAAAACCAAAATAAATATATAAAAATATTTAAAAATTATATTTTAAAAAATAACTAATCTTTATTTAATTTCTGCTCTACATTATTATTGGTAGATTTTATTTTATAAATGATTTAATAAAAGTTGGGGGGTCCAAATATATAATCCGGGCACTGTAAAATAATTTTTTGAATTTTAATTTATACTGAAAAATATTTTTTTTAAAAAATTAAAATTTAAAAATATGCCAAAATTTGATGATAAATATTATATGAAATATGTGTGATTTTTTCTAATATATGTGATATATGTTTATGATTATTATAATAAATTTGAATTGATTTTAGAATTGTTGTTATATCTCAAATAAATTTTTTAACTTCCCCGGCCGGATCTTCACCCTTTTTAGTTCTGCCTGGATCGTTCTTTCTAGAACCAATCCCACTCAGTATAAATACCTCAAGTACTCTTTAATATCATTCTTACTGCTCCAAACTACCATTAAGAAATAATTATTCACATGATGTTATATTCTACACTAATTGAGATTTCTATTACACCACTGACCCAGATGATTTTACACCACTGACCCAGATGATTTTACGACACTGCCTGATATAAATTATTCCATATATCTACTTAATGAAACTTTTTATACATTACCACCACTTAACGAAAACAAATGCTAATGAACAGCTCTAGTGAGGCAGATTCTACACTAATCAATCAGATTGTATACCACTTGATACAAATTTATAAAATCCAGAACCTGATGAAACTACCCGATACAAAAAAAAAAATATAAATAAAAGTTGAAGTTGAATAATGTAATATTTTATTTATTGAATAAATTAATTCTATTACCTCGAACCGATACTTTTTTATTCTGAATATTTTATCTTTTTTTTTCATATTTATGCAATTTTATGTAAAAAAATGAAAATATATGACAAAAAATGATAAAATATTCAGAATAAAAGTTTGTTGTTTGAGGTAATAGAATTGATTTATTCAATTTGAACTATACTAAATTAGGATTATTTTTATAATTATATAATTAATTAATTAATTAATTAATTAAATAATTGTAATGTATTCATTTGCATTTTAGAATTAAATGAATATTACAGTTATAATTAATCTCAACTAAATAATATATTTTCCTTTATTTTAAATAATTTATTTAAAATTTAAAAATTAAAATAAAATTTATTTAAATTTTCAATTTTTTTTAAACTAATCAGTAAAACCGTCAATTTGGGTGTGATTCTGAAAACGGCATGTATGAGATATCCAAACTGGAGACAAAACCCCTTTTTTAAGAATCACATGGAAGAAATCCGAGATTTATGTGGTGGGATAAAAAATATTGCTCGATGCAGGGATCGAACCTGCGACCGTGGCGTTATTAGCACCACGCTCTGCCGACTGAGCTAATCGAGCAAGCTTGAGAATATTAAAATTTTCTCCCTATTAGGTTTTTTTAACAAAAATTAAATAATCAAAAGTTTTACTAAAATTTTCTAAAAATAAATTAATTAAAGTCGTGTTAACCTTTGCACCATTCTTATTGAAGGGGTAAGTCAAAAATTCGTATTGGTTTGCAATTAATACAAAAAAGGTTTTTTTTTGAAGGCTAGAGAAGTTTAGCAAGATATGGAATTCCAATATATTTAGAGTGAAAATACCGATACACCTGGAAAGCTACAGAACTTTATCGATGAATTACAAATAAAAATTAAATAACAAAAATTAAATAATCAAAATTAAATTACTAAAAATTTTTTTAAAAATAAATTAATAATTGTGGAGTTAACCTTTGCGCCATTCTTATTGAAAGGGTAAGTCAAAAATTCGTGGTTAGCAATTAATACAAAAAGGTTTTTTTTGGTTAACAAAGAGAAAGAACAGTTAAAACGATTAAAAAGATAAATAAGAAATTTAGAAAGATATAGACCTCAAACATCGTTGTGAAATAGCAATACGATTGGGAAAGTTAAGAAATTTGCCAATGAACTACAAACAATATAAAATTAAATTATTAATTGAATAATCAACCCTGAAAAAATTAAATTAATAAAGTTTGTGTTAACCTTTGTTCTATTAGAATGAGTTAAAACACTTGGTTAACCATCTATAAGTAGATATTAACAAAGTCCACATATTTATATTGTTTTATTAAGTGCACTGTATTATATAATACTCGTTGTTTTAACCAAATAGCATGTTTATCCCCAATTAATTTTTTTTCCATTTTATTTTTAAAAAAATTAGATTATAATTTCTAATTTTTCTAAAATATTTAAAAAAAAAAAAAAATTATCTGTATGTTGTGTGGGTTATTGATTAATAAATAATTTTTTCGAAAATATTTATACTAACTAAAATTTAAAAAAATACTTAAATTTTCCATTATAATAAATCAATTTATATAAAATTAAAAAAGATATTTTTGATAAAATATAAAAACCTTTGTAAAATTTTTTTTTGAAAAAATCTTTTTGTTTTAATTTTATGAAATATCTTAAATATTTTTGGTTCAATCCAAATGATTTTGATACTTAGGGAAAACCAAAAAATCTGTCCATGGTATATAAAAACCAAATAACAAATTATAATAAAAAATAATAAAAAATGAAAATAATAAAAAATAAAAAAATAATAAAAATAAAATAATATCTAAAAAAAAACAAATTAATATCTTTGAAAAAAATATCCAAATTAACTTTAACTTGATCACAAATTTAGATTTAATTATTTTGGTGAATACAAAAAAAAAATTAAAAAAAAATTCGCTATAAGAAAAAAATTTAACCACCCTGATTTTTGCACTGTTACTAAAAAAAATTTTAATATTATTAAAAATAATAAAAAAAAAAAACCTACGTCATAAAATTGTGAATATTTTACAATAAGCCAATCAATTTAAAAAAAAAAGAGTAAATTTTTTTTTGGGTTTTGTGTATTGACATCATCAAAATATCTAAAAAAAAAAAAAATGGGGTATTTAATAATTTTATTTTTTTTAATTTTTTTTTTATTTTTTTTTTTTTCATCAATTATTTTTTTTTTTTGTTTATAAATTTTTTTTTATTTGCCAAGAAACTTTTTGTAAATAGATAGAGATAAAAATATAATAAAAGATGAGTACTAATAATTGGGAAGTTAAACCAACAAAAACTCAAAAGTAAATAAAATTTTTAAAAAAAAAAAAAAAAAAAAAAAAAAAAAGAAAAAAAAAAATATTAACATTTTTATTTCATAAGTAACAATTATAAAGTTGTTTTAATTGGTGATAGAAATGTTGGAAAATCCACCTTTATATATAATTTCAATGTAAGTATATATAATAAAAAAATAAAAAAATTTTAAAAAAAAAATATTTACTTAATGCCATCTATTAAATTAATTTTCAGGATCAAGGCAAAGAAATTATAATAAGTGGAAAACGAAACAAAAATACAAAGAAAATTAAAATAATTAAAAAAAATAAACAAAAATTAAAATTAGAAATTGTAAGTAGTTTGTTTATCCAAAAAAAAAAAAACAATAATTAATATTAATATTTTTTATTTTTATTTTCAGAGTAAATATGAAGAAAAATCATTAGGAGGAGTTGACAAATCGTATTTCATGAGCACAAACTGTTTTTTTTTAATGTTTGATGTTACCGATGAAGATAGCTTACTTAGTTGCAAAATATGGCTTAGAGATATTATCAAATTTTCAAGACCAAACACTCCAATTATACTTTTGGGAAATAAAATAGATCTCGCTGATGAAAAAATAATTGAACCTTATCAAGCTAATGAATTTCTATACAATGTACGTGATCAATTAAAAATAAAACAAGAAATACCCTATTATGAATTTTCATCAATTGCACCAAATGAAAAATATTACAACAAAATTTTTAAAAAATCATATCAACTAATAAATGAAAGATTTAATAGTTCACCACCACCATCACCAAATAAATCGCTATCGTCATCACCAAATTCAAAAACAACAACCACTACCGCCACCGGAACAAGAAATAGTAATGAAGATGATCAAAATTCATCATTGTTTTCAAAAAGAGGTAGCATTTTAATTTCAAAATTAACAAATCTTTTAAAAAAAGAATAATTTAACATTAAAAAGTTTTTTTTATTAGTTTTCTATTTTTTCTTCTCTAACGATAAATAAAAAAAAAACTAAATTTGTAAATAAAAATTAACTTCTAAAAACTTGTAAATATTTCTTTTAAATTTAAAAATTATTAAAAAATTTGTATTGTAATAATATATTGTAAATTGTATAAATAATAATAAATAATAAATAATAAATAATAAATAATAAATAAAAGAAATAAAAAATAAAATAAAAAAAATAAACTTTATATATTTTTATATTATATATTTTTAAAAAATATTTATTTCTAAATACACATATTATAATTTAATTTAGTTTTTTTTGGCTTTACGGGCTTGAGCGAGTTTGGCAGCTTTTAATGATGATTGGACTCTGTTTAAACGACCGAGGGCAGCAGCTCTTAATTCTGGAGCGTATTGGGTAGCAAGAGTTTTAACGAAACGGGCAGTCTTTCTTGAGTTGTTGGTGGTGAAAGTGGTGGTTTTGTTGGCAGTGGCTGGGAAAGCAACTTTCTTGACGACTCTGCTTGAAACAACGATTTTACCGTTTTGGGCAGCAACATCAATAACATTCTTTCTGGCTAAACCAGAGTATTTGATTGAATGTTTGTTACGTAAGTTACCTGGTTCACATGAGAGAACGGTACCGTTTCTTTCAATTTTGAAAGCGTTGTTTTTTTTGACAATGTTCCAAATGAGATCTGAAGACATCTTTTTATCTATTAATTTTAAATAAAAATAAATATTAGTTTTTAATAATAATTTTTAAAAATGATTATATGATGGTTTTTATTATTTTTTATAGTTGTTATGATCATTATTATTATTACTATTTTATGTTTTTTTTTAAAAACAAAAAAAAAAAAAAAATACGAAATTTTTTTTTCTCTAAAAAATCATTATCTTTATTCTATTTTTCTTTTCTGTGCTGTTTGTAATAACTATAATACTAAATTTACTAAAATTTCATAACTATAATAACAAATTCTAAATTTTTTTCAAATTATCTTTTTTTTTTTTTTTTTTGTGTGTTTTTTATTTTTAAAAAAAATAAAATGATTTGGTGATTTGAAGATTTGATTATTATTATTATTATTGTTATTGTTAATTAATGTTATTTAAATTATTATTTTATTGTTTTATTATTTTTTAAACCATCATATTTTTTTATTCACACATAAAAAAATTTATGTGATGATTTTAACCTACACTCTTGCAATAGCGAAACTAAGAAATTTTTTTTTTTTTTTTTTTTTTTTTTTTACCCACATTAATTTTTTTACGTGCAACCAAAAAAAATTAAAAATTATTAAAAAAAAAATTAAAATTTTTATGTCAGTAATTGGATTTATGTAAAAACTTCGTAAATAAATTTTTGTTAAAAAAAACTTTCAAGCAGTTTCCCATTTTCTTTTTTTATTTTCAAAAAAAAAAATTAAATAATAAAAAAACGAAAGTTAAATTATAATTTAAAAAAAAAAACTATAAAATTAAATTAAATTATAAATGAAATTAAAATTAAATTAAATTTTTAGGAATGATTAAGATTTATATACATGTTTTTTGTGTAAAATTTTTTATTTTTTTATTTTTTAAAAATTTCTATGTACATTTTATTATATGTTCAATCCATTTTTGAATCAGTATTTTCAATATATTTAAATTTCTTCATTTGAATTTGTGTGAGATATTTGTTATCACCATCCCATTCAGCTATATATTTAACATTTGAATTGGTTGTTAAATCTGGACACACTAAAATAAAATAAAAAAAAAGGTTATTAAAAAATGGAATAGATAGATGATTTATTGAATTAAAATACTTACAATAACCATCACCTGTTTTAAAAGCTTTAACATCATTTTCATAAGAGTTTTTAAGTAAATCACCGGCTGTTCCGCTAGCGTTTGGTTTGGCACCAATTAAATATTCATCAATCATTTGTGAAATTTCAATTAAGCTAAAATTCTTTTTATTTGGTGTTTGTGTAATTTTATCTTTGAAGAAAAGAATTTTTTTCTCTTTTTAAAAAATAAAATAAAATAAAAATTAGTATAAAATCAATATATATATATATAATAGTAATGTTGTTGTATAGATTATTATAGTTATAAAATACATACTAAGTTTATTATTTTCTTTATCTTTTTGAGATTTATTTAAATCCTTTTTAATATCTCTAACATTGTCAATTGTTATTTTTTTAGCTTTTCTAGATAAAGGGTGTAATACTTTTTGAACTTTGGCTGGGGCTTTTTTTTGTTCTTTTCCTTTACTCATTTTTATTAATATATAATTTAATTTTGTGTGTATAAAATAAATAAATTCGTTCGTTTTTTTTTTTTTTTTTTTTTTTTTTAAAATTTTTTTTTTTTTAAAATTTTTTTTTAAAATTAAAAATTAATTTGATATTTAAATAAATAAAAATAAACAAATTTATTACCACTTGATCTTTTTTTAATATATTAAAATATATATTCTCACTATAAATTATTAATAATAATCTCATTATAAATGAATTTTTATTTTTATATTTTTTTTTTATATTTTTTTTATTTTGGATATTTTCTTTTGAATATATTTTCTTTATTTATTATATTATATATTAAAATTTTTTAAAAAAGATACCATTTTCCCCCGCTTATACAAATAAATAATGATCATTATCACTTTTTTTTATTTTTTTTTTTTCATTTTTTCATTTTTTTTATTTTCAAATTTTTTTTATTTTTTATTTTCAAATTTTTTTATTTTTTTAATTAAATTTATATAAATCTAATAATATATTAAAGATGGTAAATCATTCAGGGAATTAATAATAATCAAAAATAAATAAACTTTATATTAATTAATAGTTTTATATAAAATAGTTTCAATTCGGTAAAAAAGTCACAAATGCACATGATGAAGGTATTTGGTGTGTAAAATGGCAAGGTGATATCATTGCAACTGGTGGTATGGGACCTAAGGTTAAATCATGGCACGGTGTTTCAACTCCAGATTTCCTTAAGGAAAGAAAAGTATTTGATAAGCATATATTAGGTGTTACATCATTAGATATTGATGTTAGCAATAAATGTAAGTTTAAAATTTGAAAGATAAAGAGTCAAAATTAACATTAAATTAATATAATATTTATTTACTAATCAAATTTAATAAAGATCTTGCAACTGGTGGTTTAGATGGCACAATCCGTATATTTGATTTAAATACAAACACACTTTACAAAAGTTTAGATTCAGGTCCATGTAAGTATTGGCATAATAGATATAATAGTTATTATCATTTAATATTAATCAACAAAATTATAAAGTGGGATGTTTAAAGATCGGATTTTTAAATAATGCAGATAGATTAGTTAGTGTTTCAGAGTCTGGCAATATTACAATTTATTCAACTGAAAGTGGTGAAAAATTAAAAACTATTTCGAATCAAAATAAACAAATTTTAACAATGGCAATTGTAAGATATTTTTTTATATAATTATAGCTATTTAGTGGAAAATAGAGGATTTCAAAGATAACTAGATTTATAGGATGGTTGATATAGTTAACTAATTTTTGGATAAATAATGTTATTGTTTTTTATTATATGATTTTACAGAGCCCAAATAATGAACAAATAATAGTTGGAGGATTAGATGGTGTAGTATCATGTTATGAAGTAGAATCAGGTAGAAGAATTACAGAGATTAAGGCACATGGTGTTCCAGTTCGTTCACTTTCATTTTCATCAGATTCCAAAACTATATTTACAGGTGGAGAAGATTCACAAATCAGACTTCATGATCCAAATAGCAGCACTCCATATATCGCTTCATTAATGGGTCACTCATCATTTATTTTATCACTTGCTGCATCACGTGATGGTAATTTATTAGCAAGCTCAGGGTATGTAAAAGATTTAATCATATTTTTAAAAATATGATAGTAATGGTCATACTAATTTTATAATTCTTTTATTTTGGCTACTATTAGATCAATTGATAAAAAAGTTTGCATTTGGGATATTAAAACAAGAAAATTAGATTCAACATTTACAGCACACGCAGATCATGTTTGGGATTTAGCATGGTCACCAGATAGTACTAAACTTGTATCAGTATCAGATGATGGTTCATTACATTCTTATGCATTAAAACAATAAACAATTAAAACAATAAAAAAATAAATATTTAAAAAAAAAAAAAAACTTTAGGGTATTTTTTATTAAAGAGATAAAAAGAAATGGTTTTTATTTTTATTTTGATCTATTAATAGTTTAAATAAGGTAGCCATTTTAAGGTCATATTTGAAATAATAAAAACGATCATTATATCGGCTGCGCAGTGAGATAAAATTGATGCTAAAGGACCAACATATTTGGTTATATATAGAAACATTAATCCCCCAACAAATACCACTGTTGTTAAAAACATACTGAAGAAAATATTATAAAATACTGTTAAAACAACCTATATGTTTTGAAAATTGTTAGTATTATTTAAAATTTAATAATAATAGTAATAATAGTACATACAAAATGATAAAAGGAATAAAAAGCAGTTATAATAAATCTATTTAATTTTGTTGTGCCAAAGGTATTTAGTAAGAACATTCTCCAAAACCATTCCTCCATGATTGGGTTTATAACCGAAAAATAAATATAAAATATATATTCAGCAAAGAATGAATAGGATAACATTCCATAATCTTTTAATCTAGATACAACATTTGGTATGTACTAAAAAAAAAAAAAATTAGTATAGTTAAAATTAATAATATATGAAAATGTACATATAACTTACAAAAGCAAGCAGATAGTAGCATAACAAACCGAATGCTAAACCAGCTATCATTAATAAAAGACCTATAAATAGTTGGGGTAGTGAGAACAAAGACTTAAAAATCCTTTTAGGTAAGGACATTGATTTGATATCATCCTCCAATAAATTTCTTGAATGAATTTCGATTAAATGTTCGTCTTCGTTTATGTTATCAACAATGTCTCTATTGTATACTGGTTTTGGTGTTGGGTTATATATTGAGATGGTTGCATTGCTATTAATACTACTGCAATTACTTTCATTATCACTATTACAATAGTAAATATCATTACTATTGATACTGTCATCATTATTAATATTGTAATTTATAATGTTGTTTTCATCTTTAACAAATTTTGAATTTAAAAATAAATAAAATATTGGCCCTATTGTAATGGTTAAGTGAAAAACAACTATTGCTAAGTAAATATCTTTAATTATGTGAATACATATTGCCATTTCAATAGTCGGTAATATTAATAATAATATTAAAAAATAAAGTCTTTTGTCTGAAATTTTAAGAGGGTGGCCCTTTAAATCCCATTTCTTTAAAAAATGAATGATAAAAAATTAATATGACTTTATTTATAAACGAAATTTGTAATGTACATCGAAATACCTACCATAAACCTTTTATTATATTTTAATTTCGATGAACCAAAATCAATGGCTTTGTTAACAAACTCCATTCTTCAAATGCTGAGTTGATTTTAGCTAAAATGAAAACAAGTATATAATAGAAAAGTTGTATTGGAAAATAAATAAAAGATTGTTTGATAATATTTTATGCATTCATAATTAAACGGGTGATTAGAAATTTATATGTATATTTAAAATTGCGACGGTAATGCTTTATTATGTTTCACATTAAAATTAATTAATTTGGAAATAATATGTTATTGTTGCTTTGGCAATATACCTAAAAATTAAAAAAAAAACTAAAAAAAATATAAAAAAAAATTTATAAATTTATTTTTGGTCTGGGAAAAAAAAAAAAAAACTAAAAAACAAAAAAAAAGATATTTTTAATAAATTTCTTTGTGAAAAAAGAAAAAAAAATTGAAGATATATCCATTAATTATTTTATTTTTATTTTTATTTATATATTTGTGTAATGTACAAAATTAATTTATAGTGGCAGCGATTATTGTTTTTTAGATTCTGAAAGTAGTTTTTGAATAATTTGGTTCATTGTTGGTCTTTTCTTTGGTGAGTTATTTAAACAATCTTTAATTAGATTGGAAAGGAAGCTTGGACAACTGCTTGGAATTTTGGGTTTGGTTTTCTTTTCGCAAACAGTTTTAAACAATTCGGCAATAGAGTTGATTTCCATGTATGGTTCTTCACTTGTGGCCATTTCGAATAGGAGCATACCATAGCTATAAACATCTGCGGCAGAGGTATAGGTTTCACCTATTAAACATTCTGGAGCTTCCCACTTTGGAGTACCCGCAACAGCGGTCATATTGAAGTTTATATCTATTACTCTACTCATACCAAAATCAGCAACTTTAGCATTATTGTCTTTATCAACCAAGATATTTGCGGCTTTGATATCTCTATGAATAAAATGTAGGCCATGTAAATATTCCAAACCTTGAGCAACCGATAATGCATATTTAATAATTTGCTGAGTTGATAGTGGTTTGTTTTTATTGATAACATCTAAAAGAGTACCCTTGTGCATAAGTTCAGTAACGATCATAAAGGTTGAGCTGGCATTGGTTTTGGGTGCGATACACGCACCTTTTAATTTTAATAAATTGGGGTGATTGAGGAAGCCTAATATTGCAACTTCTTTTAAGAAATCTTCCAAACGGAATGAAAATGAGCCTTCATTAAAAATCTTTACCGCAACTTCTTTGCCCTTAAATATACCCCTACTAACGGTTGCCAATGCACCTTCACCTAAATATTCACATATGGTCAATTCACCTTCTTCAATTTGTTTGTGGGAATGAGCTTGATTAAATTTACAAATATCTAAAATTGGAGCCAAGGCGTTTTTATTTTTAACTTCTAATAAATATTCCGCTATAATATAATTAATAGAAAAAAAGATTGTTAGTTACATATGTTTTTAAATTAATAAAAAGATTAAATAAATATTTACATGATGAGATAGAAAGATTAATTAAAATTTGAGCAGATTGAGCTTTCATTTTTTCAGCATTTTTATTTGTTGCATCTACAATTGGTCTTTCTAATAATGAAATGAATAGTGAAATTGGAAACATTTCGACAAATTCTTTCTTTAAATCTTTTCTAATACCTTTCTTTTTGGGTCTTAATAATAAAGCTAAAAATGTTAAATATAAACTACCAAATTCGCATGAGTCATCTTTAAATGATAAATCCATAAATCCAAATAAAACATCTTTGTATTTAATAAATAGTTCATCTTTTTTAGGATCTATTAATAGATAATAAAAATCTAAAGTTAGTAAATTATTGTTTTAAAAATTAAAAATGATAAACTTACAAAATGGTAACAATAAATTTAAAATTTTGAAAACTTCTGGTATGTACGATAAATTATGGCTAATAATTGTGCTGTGAATTAAAATATTAAATAGTTGTACTAAACTTGACTTGTTGAAATCTTTAAGTTTCTCTGGGGTGATATGTTTTTTTAAATCTAAAAAGCCATCTGATAAAACTGAAACCAAAAGTTCGTCACCACAAGAGGCTACAGGTAAAATCAAGTGATAGTACCCAGAAACAATTTCCTCGGGGATCTTATCTAGTGATGAAATTAGTGATATTGGGCCTGGAAGGATATCTGATGGTTCAAATTGTAAATAGGATTTATCTGTTTTTATAAAGTGATTTGATTGTTGACCAATATTTAATACATTTGTTGAGTTTGTTGGGGAGAGTGATTTCTTTGAGAGTAAATACTCTATACCAGGAGATGAAATTGAACTAAGGGTTGGTGATTGATTTGATGGACTTGGTGTTGAGGCATTTGTTGGTGATGTTGCTCCATTGGTTCTTGATGAAACAATTGAAAAAAGAGTTGAGGAGTCTTTTATAAATTTCTCAACATCTTTTCTAACATTTTCCTCCAATTTAAATATGGCGGATTGGTTGCATGAATCTAAAAGTAAATATGTGATCTTATGGGTATGCTTTATAAATCTATGTGTAAATTCTTTGGGTAGTTTGCTGGTTCTATTTGGGGTAAGGTTTAAAAGTTGATCTATAAAATTATGTGCTTCCTTTAAACGCTTTAATGTAAGATATACTTGTTGGCTTGCTAACTCTTTATAAAGTTTTTGGGTAACTTCAAAGGATACCTCTAGTTGTGAAAGATCATTTTGGAAATTTGTTATTAAGTTTTCAATTTGTTGATCTTGTCTTAAAAGGTATTCATTATAAATTTTCTTTTCATTAGTTTCATTGTTTGAAAATAAGCTATATTCGTTTGGTTTTGGTTTTGCTTCTTTAATTGCTTTTATTTTTGAATTTATAATGTTTCTCATATTATTGATATATTGCTGAATACTTTCTAAATGCTTTACCGATTGAGTTAGTGATTCGGGGAACTGATAAGATGATTTAAAAATACTAAATAATACATTGACGGATTGTAGGGTTAATTCTGGTAAAGTATCATTAAATTTAGATTTTTCTGTGGTTGATTCCATTAATGATGACAGTAAATCTGAGTTTGAATTTTGTTTAGTTGGAAATATCGACTCTAAAGTTTTTCTTCTTGATGAGAGGGTACCATAAACATTGTGGTTGCTTCTTGTCGTGCTCGAGGTTGTTACATCATATTTGTTTGAAAGTGTGATGATCGATTTAGTTGGTGATGAACCAGTTGGTGATACTGAAAGTGAGGGTACAGAGTGTTTTGTAGATCTAAGTGTTTTTGGGTTTGCTGATGATGGGGATGAAGATGATAAAGAAATAGACGCATTGGAAAGTGGAGAAGAGGTTGATGACATTGATGCACTTGTTGGTCTGGTCTTAAATGCAAAGTAATATTCTTTTAAAGTATTAAATTGTTTTTGTAGTAAATAACTTTCTAAAGCTTTAGTTTTCTTGAAAATTGAAACCATATTAACAATATTATCCAGGATGAATTGAGGTGGTTGATATCCTTCAATGGTTGGGAATTGTTTAAAAATATTTAAAATAGCAGCCATGCACTCTTTCTCGGTTGATGGGGTATCGTCGAGATCCAAAGAAACCGGGAAAAGTTTATGGAGTTCTTTCTCTTCTGGTGTACTACTAGGTAAAGAGATGGTTTCTGATACATTGCCAGATGAAGTGGAAGGTGAAATGTTTGGGGAGTTGCTATTTGGTGATCTATTACCGGAGCCAGTTGAATAGTAGTTATCTGTTAAGTTTTTTGTTAATGGATCCACCAAAAGCTTATATATTAACTTTTCCATAATTGAGGTTTGCATAATTAGATTTGGTAGTGATACGAATGTACATTTTTCAAGATCTGGCACAAAAATTATAAAGCTTGCAATTGTATTTTGATTGTTTGGTACATTAAATGATTTGTATGGAATGACCCATTTTGAGATAAAAAAAATTAATGATAAAAAAAATTTATCCTCTGTATCTATTCTATGTTTAATATATTGCGCTGTATAGATACCAAAAGATTGAGGTTGAGTTGAAACTATTTTTGAAACTTGTTGCTTTAAAAATTTATGCTGATAGCTTTGATTATATAATGATTCTAAATATTTTTGTTCTGATAAATTATTATTTTGTATTGGTGATTGTGATTGTGCTACATTTGGTTGGGTGCGTGAATGTTGAAGTGATCCTGGTATACTGGTTGAAAATGGTGGTCTTGTTGAAACTGGTGGTGAGGTAGTGGGTTCATCATCGGAAATACTAATTGGTGTACCTGGAATAGAGTTCATTAATGATCTTGGTGGTGATAATGGGGTTTGTGTTGGTGAGAGTAGTGATGATTGAGGTGGAGTTATAGAACCATTTTGAGTTAAACCTAGTGATGTAGTGGGGGTTGAAAGGTAAGGTCTAGCACATGGAAAATCTTCATCTTTATATACACGGAAAATATTGATCCAGTCTTCGATCATTCCATTTAAAAAATCTTTACTGTTCATAATCGCTGGTAAAGAATCTTCACTTAGTGGCTTCAATATATTGTTTTGGTTCGCATATCTAATGGCAACACCTGATCTCCAAAAATCTGAATGAGTTGAACCATCACCTGAAAAATGAAATTTACCAACACCATTTGCTCTATTATCCAACCATTTACCAGAGTAGTAGTCCTGTTGTTTTAAATATTCAGCATCAGTTTGTTGTCTAACGATTTCTTCTCTTTTATTAAATTTTTCTTTAATTTTTCCAACAATTTTATCATCGAATCGTTGAGTTACTGTTAGTCTTGGTGAAAGATTATTTGGTGTAGTTGGTTTCTTAATTGGTGTGTTTGATTTCTGCTGTTGTTGTAGTGGATTTGGTGACGATGGTATTGGTTTACTTTTTACATTTTTTAATAGTACCATTGTGCCGTCGCCATCTCTTTTATCTAGATTCCATTGTCCTGTATAAATTGATTTTGAAAATATAAATGTACCGGTGCCATTTTTAATTTTATTTTCATTTAGTTCGCCTTTATAAAATCCATAATGGGAATGCATCTGTGAAAAATATATATCAATGTTAATATTTAAAATTATATTTGTATAGGTTTAAACATTAATATTTACCATGTGGGTATTTTTTATATCATTTTCGGAATCTTTACATGTTTTAAATAATACATCATAATTATAACTTGTTGGTCTTATTTGTTCTATAGAACCGTCGTTGTTATTATTTTGCTCCATTATTAAGTTATTATTATTTTATTTATATATACAAAAGTTATAAATGAAGTTATAACAAAATTATTTGTTTTTTTTTTTTTTTTTTTTTTTAAAAAAAGATGATTAAAAGTAGTTGTTGGAAAAAGTAATAAAATAAATAAATTAATTTAAATAAAAAATTTAAATTAATAAAATAAAAAAATAATATATAATTTTTGTTGTGTTATTGTTATTTTTGTATTGTTATTATTATATATTGTGCGCAGTATAAAAAAAAGTTTAATTGTGAAATTTTTAAAAAAAAATATTTATATTATTATATATAATTATTATTTTTTTTTTTTTGATGTGTTGGTGGGTGTGTTAGTGAAATTTTTGTATTGGGTGGGGGTATGTGTACCTCTTTCCTATATTGTAAAGCTATTATTTTTATAATTATTAAATATATACAAAAAAAAAAATATGTATCTCACAAAAACAAGACCTACACCACTCATTCACACACTCTACGATATATACATAAAGGAATTATATTTTTTGTATATAATTTTGAAATTATGAAGAAAGTGAGTGAACTATTGTGAGTGATAATAATTATGATTAAGTACACTAAAAATACAAAATTACAAAAATGGTCAAATCGCTGAATAAACTAGGTGTATATGTATTGTAGGTTTTGGTGTAGTTTGAGGTATATTATTATGTTGTACTATTGTAACCGATTTATCTATTGAGTTACTTTTATTTAAACTTAAAAATTTTTTAAACTCCAGGTTATAACAATTATACTTTTATTTAATTATTATTTATTTATTTATTTTTGAAACTGTATACGAAATTGAATATAAAGTATATATGATATTATTAAGTATTGAAAAATGGATTTATCAATGGTAATTATGATAATTAAAAATTAAAAAAATTTATTTTTTTAAATGAAAATTATAAAAATTTTAATTATTTTTGTGATTAAAAAATTTTTATTTGAAAAAAAAAAAAAAAAATTAATTTTTAAATTTTTTATTTTTAATATTTTTTAATTAAAAGAAATTTGGGTGATAACAAATCTTTTTTAAAATTATTTATATTTAGACATAACTATTATATATTTATTCTCAGTCTTTTTCAAAACTCACAATTGCTTTAAAAAACATTCAAAATATTTTTAAAAGAATAAAGATTAGTTAATTTTTATATTATTTATTATTTATTTATTTATTTATTTATTTATTTATTTAATTTATTTATTTATTTATTATATATTTATTTATTTGTAGTTTCTAAAAAAAAAAAAAACTTTTTTTATCTTTTTTTCTCTATAAAAAATAAATTAAAAGAACCACACATAAATCTAGATTGTTACCAAAAAAAGTCAACATTCCAAAAATAAAGCTATTATATATTTTAATTAAATTAATTCAAAAAATTTTATAAACCCACTCTATTTTTTTGTTCCCACTATCTGCACCTCATCATAATCACACACAATCAACACATAAACATCACACCAATAAAATATAACACATACAAGTACACACATAATTCCACACACACACACACACACAAAAGAAAATTATTGGTAATTTTTTTTTATTTTTTTTTAAACTATATTTTTTTAAAAATATTATTTTATTTTTGTTTTCTTTTTTTATTTTTTTTTTTTATTCTTTTTTTTTTTTTTAAACTATATAAACTACTAGGGGTAGTAACAAATAACACTTTCACACATAGACACAGATATATTATATCATTTTTCTCTTCAAATTTTTAAGTTTTATGCGTTAAAAAAAAAAAATTTTTAAATAATTTATTTTTTGTTGTTTTTTTTTTTTTTTATCTCAAATAATATAACTCACCATTTATATATTACGCATATATACCATCATTATCACATAATAATCATATTTCATATTAAAATAATAAATAAAAATTAAATTTCAAAAGAAAAATGTCAGTTTTTTCATTCGGTTTGGGAATTAATGGGGCATTAGGTCTTGGAAAATTAGAAAATGATTGTCAAACAACACCACAAAAAATCGATTATTTTACTGAAATTGACAAAAGAGTAAAGAAAATAGCATGTGGCTCATATCATACTGTTTTTGTAACAGGTAAATATAAAATAAATCATTATATTATTATAATTTTAATATTTTTATACTAAAAATCCTATTTAAATGTTTAGACGATGAACAACTATATATATGCGGCATAAGAAGGGATCCAAAACATGGAACAACCCTATTTGTAAATATTGATGAAAGCACAAATCCTAACAATCCGAACTATACCAACCCTAATGAGGCCATGGATGGTACAAATGGAGAAGAAAAAAAGCTCGGTGAAAGCCTCTCAAATTTAAATGTAAATAGCCAGAATGAAAATGGAATCTCAGAGCCAAATGAAATTATTGGTAGAGACAGAGGTAATAGCATTTCATTTAAAAGACCACCATTGGACAGAGGTATTCCCCATCACAGATCAACAAGAGCATTGATGCAAAGACCAGAAAGTCCACTACTCAATAAACTACTATCAACAAAAGTAGAAATGGAAATAAATACAAATACATCACAATCAAATTCAAATTCAGGTAGTGACGACGAAGATGAAAATGAAAATGAAAATGAAAATGAAAATGAAAATGGAAATGAAAATAAAAATGAAAATGAAAATGAAAATGGAAATGGAATTGGAAATGAAAATGATGGTCCAACACCAAATAATACTCTAAATGTTGATTGTGAAATTTCAAGATTGTCATTAAACTCTGTTGAAGCTGAAAATATCAAAAAAAATATAACTTTAATTAAAGAACAAGACGAGCAATTTAACAAAGAGCAAGAAGAACAAAAAGAATTTTCAGATGATTTAATGAAAGTAGAGATTAAAGTTGAAGATCTTTCAAATGACCCAAAATCTCCACAATTAAACAACAACACCAATACCAATAACAACAATAATAGCAATAATAACCAACAACAAATTATATCAACCCAAACATTAAATAACCAACAAATGGAAGAAATAAATGTTTTCTCTATACCAGTAAGAATTCCAACAAACTTTTTAGAAAACACACCATTAAATGTCATTAAACAAGTTTCATTAGGTAACTACCACATTGTAATTTTAACTGAAAGTGGTAATGTTTGGACATGGGGTTTAAATACAAATGGTCAACTTGGCTATGCTCAAGATGCAAACTCATTAAACGTACCAAGAATGGTAGAAATAAAATGTGTCAAAACTATAGCCACTGGAATAAGAAATACAGCTGCCTTGACTGAATGGGGAGAGCTATATATGTGGGGTATAAATGAACATGGTGAATTAGGTTTGGGTGATACGAATGATAGAAGGGTTCCAACACGTGTTCAAAGATTAAAAAATGAAATTGTTACAGTTATTGCATGTTCCTCAACCCACTCTGCATGTTATACCGAATCTGGAAAAATGTATTTATGGGGCCAATGTGATGAAGCTGGTAAAATTCAAACTATTCCCACAAGCATACCAATTCATAGTTATTTAGATAGAGAGATTAAAAACTCAAATGGTATTTATGGAGGTGGCGGTAAAATTAAACAATTAGCTTGTGGTGAATGGTGTATTGCTGCCCTTACCCAAATGGGTGAAGTTTTTATGTGGAATGTTGGAGGAGTACCTGCTCCACTTCGTCATGCCCTTGAAAACCATTCAGTTAGAAGTATAGTCATGGGTAATTTCCATTTGGTATGCTTAACAGATAGCGGAGAAGTAATTACAATTGGTAGAAATAAATCTGGACAATTGGGCCGTGGTGATGATGAAGCAGTACCAGGCATTGTTAAGCAACTATCATTTAGTGCAACTGGTGAAGGGCTTAGTGCCGATGAATTTGTAGTAGCTGTTCATGCAGGTGAATACCATTCAGTAGCTTTAGTTGAGAATACTCCAAAAACTAAAATAGCTTTACAACTTTTGAGAATGCAAAGAAATTATTTACGTCAATTAAATATTTTAAATAATATCTACTATAAATCACTAATGTCAATGGCATCACCATATGACCCAGCATTATTATCAATCAATAATAGCTTACCACCCCAACTAAAAGGTATAAGTGGGGGAATACCCGAAACCACCCAACAACAACAGCAACAACAGCAAAATGGTATTCAGCACCCAAATGGAAATGGTGCAAACGGTTCACCTATTTCAACTAGTCATTCAATATCATCACCTAACCTATTAAATGGTGGTACAATAAAATCAAGATCAACTAGCATTGCAACTATCAGAGGCCTATTTGGTATAAACAATATGTTACATCACTCACAATCAACTACATTCCAAGATGAAAATGGTATTGTAACTGAAGATGAAATTAAAGATGTATTTTCAGATGTTGAATCATTGTCCCGTCTTACTGAAAAGTTTTTAAATTCCTTGGATCAAAGAATGGATAATTGGGATCCACTTACAAAACAAGTGGGTGATATATTTTTAGACGAATCTCTATTGGCAGGCTATCGTATATATATCCCATATAGTGATAACTACAATACCTCATGCATGACCCTTTTCAACATCAGACGTCGTAGTGAAAGACTTTCAAATATTATCAAAGAGTGTGAAAAAAAGAGCAAGTCATATGGTATTCGATTGGATCAAGAATTTGTTAAGGAAATCGATTTGAAGAGTCTGCTACTTGCTCCACTTCAAAACATACCAAGAATCTATATCTTATTAAGAGAAATGGGAAGTGAAAATATTGGTAATATAAATCACAAAGATACAGACATCATTAACTTTGCTGCAACCAAATTCCAAGTTCTTTTAGAAAGAATGAACCAAAACTTCCAATTTGTAAATGCTGTAGAAATTCTTCATTGTTCATCCAATGAATACGGTAATCCACAAATTATGGGTGGCCATATAACTCAATTGGTCGACAAACTAACTCATCACAATATATCTGATCCCAACTTTAGAGATGTTTTCCTCTTAACTTTCCGTACATTTGTAACTCCCATTAGTCTATTAGAGCTACTAATTGAAGCATTCCATCGTCAAAAACACTTAAAGAGTAGTAACCGTGTAGTTAATGTTATTACATCATGGGTAGTCCACCACTTTTATGATTTCGAAAGGGATGAACTCTCGGAATTTACTCAAGACCCAAATCATAACCCACAAGCTCTATCAGAAAAGTTAGAACAATTTATTAACAATGAAGATATTGGTTTAGTATCCCAAATTAGAACACAATACTATGGATTTAGAGTAAGACTATCACAAAGCAATTTATTACAATCAAACAAATCTTCTTTAAATTTAGCAGAAAGTGATAATGGTAATAATAACAATAACAATAATAACAATAACAATAAAACAATTAATCATAACAACTCAATAATATCCTCACCAATTATTACCACAAATTTAAAAAACAATCCAGCCATATCAGCTGTACTCTCTCAAAATATAAATATATCATCATCATATAGAGGTGCAATTCAACCTTTACCACCAGCATCACCACTACCAACAAACTTTAATCTTTTAGATTTCCCACCAATCGAAGTAGCTCAAACATTAACATTGCTAGACCATCACTACTTTTCATTAATTGACAAAAGAGAATTTTTAGGTAAAAAATGGGATAAAGATAACTCACCAAATATTAAACAATCAACAATTCATTTCAATAGAACAAGTCAAGTTGTAATTACTGAAATATTAAAATCAAAAAACTCAAGGGCCAGATCATCAACTCTTTCATTCTTTATTAGTGTCGCATATTGTTGTTTAGAATTAAATAATTTATCGGGTACTGCATCTATTATTTATGGTCTTAATAATGCATCCATTCAACGTTTAAAGAAAACTTGGAGTAGACTCACAAAAGAAACCACCATTGCTTTTGAATACCTCGACAAAATTGTAACTCCAATGAAAAACTATATCTCTCTAAGACACTTAATGGCCACAATTCAACCACCATGTGTACCATTCTTAGGTACATATTTAAAAGACTTAACCTTTATTGAAGATGGTAATCCCTCAATTATTGGCGGTTTAATCAATTTTTATAAACAAAGAAAAATAGCTGAAGTAGTCTTCCAAATTCAACAATTCCAACAAGTAACTTACTCGACCATTCATTCAAACTCTTCAATTAGATCCTACTTGACAACTTCGGAAACATTTAACGATAAACAAGCCCAAAAAGTTTCAACTGATACTGAATAAAATAAATAAATAAAAAAAATTTAAATAAAATTAAATCTAAAATAATTAAAATAATTATGTAAAAAAATTATAATGTTTTAAAAATAAAAACATTTAAATCAGAACTAAACAAGTGTTGAAATTTATTTATTAATCTTAAAATAATCTAAAAGTGTTTGATCAAAAAATAAAAATAAAAATAAAAATAAAAATAAATAAAAAATAAAAAATAAAAAATAAAAAATAATAAAAAAAAAAAAATATCATGACAGCAAATGATTATATTCACACTTTTTTTTTTAATTTGTATTATTTTTATTTTTTTTTTATTTATTAAATCATATATATATTTTTAATTATATTTTTTTTTTTTTTGTTTTATTATCAATATTAATAACTTTCATTGTTCATATATAACTTTTTTTTTTTTTTTAAAAATAATTATTTAATTATCTTTTAAATTAGTTTTTTTTTTATTTTTTTTTATTTTTTTTATTTTATTTTATTTTTTTTTTTATTTTTTTTTTATTTTTTTTTATTTTTTTTTTCTAATCAACCAAATAAATTCAATATTTATTTATTATTCTTTATTTGTTATTTATAATGCTTTATTTTTTAATAAGGGTTCTCCAAACTGATCCATCAATTGCTTTTATTATAAAAACTAAAAGTCTCTTAAAGTCAAAAAACTGTATGTATCCATTGATATTAAAAAATAAATAAACCAAGAAATCCCAAAAAAAAAAAAAATTAAAATAAAATAAATAATAAGAAAAAAAAAATAAAAAAAATGTTTTTTTTTAAATTATTTTTTTAATTTTTTTTAATTTTTAATTTTTTTTTTAAATTATTTTTTTCAAAAACGCATTATTTTTTTTTTACTCACACTAATTTTTTATTTATATATACAAATACTTTGTTTTTGTTTTTTTTATTTATTATTTATAGAAAAAATAATAAATAAAATCTTTTCTTAAAATAACACTTCGCTTTAATTAATAATACTTTTTAAAAAAGAAAAAAAAAAAAGTTTTTTTTTTTTTTTTTTTTTTTAGACACACAAAATTATCAATTTATTCAATAAACGCTTCCCTAAAAAGAAGAAAGAATAGATTAACAAAATAAAATGAATGTATCATCAGTAGATTTGTTTGGAATTGGTTTTAACGAAATAGATTCATTTAATAAGACATTAAATGAAATGTTACAAGTCTGGAATAATCCAGCAGAACAACAGCAACAACAACAACACCAACACCAACACCAACAACTCCAACAACAACAACACCAAGATAATATGTCAAATATTTTAAATATGACCAGCAGAGGTTTACCTCGCTTCAATTTATTAAATACCAGTTCATCAGGTTTAAAAGATATAAATTTATCAGCCAGCACAAATTCTTTGATGATACCAGATATATTTATTAATAATAATAATAATAGTAGTAATAATGAACAACCAAAATTAAATAGTTCAACAAAAGGTTTCGATTTTATTACTAAAACAATAAATGAAATTTCAAATGAACAAAAAACCTATCAACCATTTGAAATAATACCAGTCAAAAATATTAATAATAATAACAATAGTAACAATAATAACATATCAGAATTTGGTGTTTTAAATACATCTTTTAGTTTGGATCCAAATAAAATTGAAGAGTTAAGATTAAATCCATCAGTTTTAGATCCATTTTTAACACTCCCATATAATACTGCCACTAGCACAACCAATAACAATAATAGTATCCAAAAAAAGTTAAACTCTGGTAATAATTTAACCGGTATTATTAGTACAACTGCACCTATTTCTGGACCAATTAGAGTCATCCAAACATTCGAAAAAGAAAGTGTTCCATCACCAACAACATTCAGTTTAAATAAAGAGGAATTAAATACCATAACTTCCGCTGAAATGAATGCTTATGTCAAGCAAGCCAGCATTGTTAAGGATCTCACCCAAACTGAAAAAAAGGAATTAAAAAGACAAAAGAGGCTAATCAAAAATAGAGAATCTGCTCATCTCTCCCGTCAAAGAAAAAGAGAACGTTTAACTGATCTTGAACACCGTGTTGAAGAATTAACCACTAACTCTGCTGATATTACCAAGACTCTTTCCGGTTTAGAAAATGAAAACCTCATCCTCAAAGCTGAAGTCAGCCAACTCTTTGAAGTAATCAACGATTCTCCAGTTTTATCAGCTTTATTCTATACACTTTATTCCCAAACCCACCAACAACAAAAAGAATCAATTGAAACTTATTAAAGCAATACTTTTTAATATTCTTTTTTCCCCTTCTCTTTGTACAAACTAAACCTTAAAAAAAAAAAAGAAAAAAAAAGAAAAAAAAAAAAAAGAAAAAAAAAAAAAAAAAGATTTTTTTTATTATTACAAATACAATTGTGTTATATATCTCATTAATATTTTTTTTTTATAAAAAAAAAAACATAAAAAAAAAATATAAATAAAGTTTAAATAAAGTTTAAATACTTAATTTCCCAAAAAAAAAACAGAAAAAAAAAATCTTCATTGTTATCAACTGGTAAAACCTCGAATTTTTTAATAATTTCGAGTTTTTTTATTTTTTGTTTTTTTTTTTAATATCTATTTCAAAAACTGGTTAACTCAATTTTTCAATATTTTCGAGTTTTATAATTTGTTTTTTTTTTGTTTTTTTTCATTTCCATAATTCTATAAAAATAAAAAATATTAATCATATTTTTTATTCAAATAAAACTAGTATCAAATGAAATTATTATTAACTTTATTATTATGCTTTTTTGGTTCAGCATTATCAAACCAATGTTTTATGAACGGTCTTTGGGGTTACACTACAACTTACCAAACTGTTGCAGTTGGTCTCAATACATTCCAAAATGGTGTTATTACACCTCAAACATTCACTGATTCAGGTCAAATTGTTGTAAATTATAGAGATAAAACAATGTACAATTCAATTTATTTTACTAATGATGCTGGTTCAACTTATATGCAAATTTTTACTTTTGGTCAAAATGTAAAAAATAATTAAATTAAAAGAAAAAAAAAAATCATATTAATTGTTTTATTTCTATTTCTATTTCATGTAGCAAACCCAATATATTTTACTTGATTCAAAATGGTAACTATTATTTATTAACTATTCATAACAAATAATTTTATATTAATTTCAAATTCAATTTAGTTACAGACAACCTGCAGGTCCATTCCCATCATATCTTCCAATGGTCCCAGTCGCAAATCCCAATAACTATACAGTTGGCGATACCCAAGTAGAACTCTGGCAACTAGTAGACCCAAATACTGACTATTATTCCCAAAAAATTATGGCTGTTAATGCTCGTACATGTGCTTTTATGACAACAACCACAAGAAATACAAACTCAAATGGTATGTCTAATTCTGTTTTCAGTAATTTCCAAACAGGTTTATATACCGTTCCATTACCATACCAATGCTATAACTCTTACTTAGTCGAAGAAGGTAAATTTAGCGATATCAAAGCAGGTTTAGGTTTATATTTATAAAATAATAAAATAATTTAAATTTTATTTTTAGAAAAATAAAAAATAATAAAAAAAAATAATAAAATTTTAAAAAAACTAAAAAAATAACCCAGTGTTTGTTTGAAATTTAAAATAAAATATATATCTACTTATAATATAAAAACACATATATAAATAATAAGATGTGAAGTTTAAGATAGGAAAAAACAAAAATAGTACATACTGTATTTAATTTAATAGAGTATGGAACACCTGGATTAATGAATGAATAGCAGATATATTTATAAAATCATTTATGATACCACCAATTCTTTCAACATTTTTTTATTCTTTCCATTTAAGTTTAATAATTTATTTATATAAATTTATTTTTTAATTTTTTTGTATATATTTTATATTTCCCCCCTCCCATTTTTTTGTATTTATTATATTAAAAATTATTGGCAATTTAACCCACCATTTTTGTTTTTTATATCATGTGTGTGTTAGGAGGACGTTATTAGCAAGGTAGGTAGTTTATAGCTATATTATTTATATATATATAGTAATTGTTTTTATATTTTTTAAACAGTTAAGATTCAAAATCTAATAGAACTAATGGTAACTAACAATATTAAATACTATTTTCTTTGTTTCTCAGTACATTAGTGCAAAGAGCGCTTGAATACAGTGTTTTTTGAATTGATATGGATACTTTGTAAGTTGGACAAATTTAATTTGTTTTTTTGTTTTTTAATTAAATTTAAGTTTAATAAATTTATAAGAAAAAACAAAACTATAAAAAGAAAGAATTTTTTTTTATTATATTCATCAATTCAAATATTTTAAATTAAAAGAAAAAAAAAAAAAAACTATAAATTTCAACTTAATAAAAAAAAAAAACTAGAAAAATGAAAATCGTAGCTGTTATCTGCTTCTTATTGTTAACCATTGCTTATTCATCTGCTCATGGATTCTATGGTTGTGGTGGTGTCTCTTGTCCATGGGGTAGCATCTCTTTAACCAAGTTTGGTGTCTGTGGTTGTATTGAAATTTATAAATGCCGTGATGTAAATATAATTACAATTTTAAATAATTTTAAATAATAAATATCCATACTAATTTTTTAATATAGGTTTCACTCACCACTAGAGTCATTGGAACCTGGGAACATGATGGTTGCTCTTACACTCAATACGATGTAACCATCACCAACAATATGGACGCTAATATTCAAAACATTTTTATCGGTACTGATGAAACCTTAAAATTACGTAGCTACGACTCATTATGGAACGCTAAAAGATGTAGCCCAGATGAATTAAGCTTACCAGACTACCAACCATCAATCAATGCTCATGCGTAAGTTTAATAATTTATAAATTAATAATCCCTATATTTTATAACTAACTTTTTAATTTTAAACCAATATCTACAGATCATACACCTTTGGTTTCATTCTTAGAGGTACTGTTCCAGCCAATCTCGCTATCTTAAGTGTTGTATATTAAATACAACTGCTTTAGACTAAATGTAGTCTCTATTTCTTTTAATAATGTAAAAAAGAATGTGTAACAAAAAAAATGTAAAAAAAATAAAAAAAATTTTAATAGAATTAGTTTAACCTTTATTTATTTATTGCTTTTTTTTTTTTTTTTTTTAATGATAAAGTCCAATTTTATCATACTCTATAGTTGATTTATTTTGATATTGCTTGTTCTGTGTAAACTTTTAAGGTGTTTTTACCATCAGAAATATTTGAATTTAATGGGATTAGTAACGCCACACCATCAATTTCTGCTTCATTTTTTGATGCACTAACCCAAACTGGTTTGGTTTGATTATTTATACTATATCTTGGATTCTCTAATGGGTTTATATTTAATACAGTTGCTGGGTTTTGATTTGCTAAATTTAAATTGTTTTTTGTATAAACATGAATTGTAAATTTTAAATTATTATTATTATTTTTGTTATTGTTATTATTACTATCGCTATTATTCAATTTCTTTTGTCTTTTTCTTGAGTTGAGCACTACTATTCCATCGGTATCTTCTGATTCGCCCATCTCCTCTTTTTTATTTTCTCCATCTTGGCTAGATTCCTCTATATTTCTATAGTTTGATGGGTCATAAAATGAATCTGATGACATTAATATTTTTAAAATAAATGCTTTAAAACTTGATTCCAATTGTGCAAGATTTGGTTTACTATTTTTATTCTGGTTATTATCATTGTCATTGATGTTATTATTATTTTTATTATTATTGTTATTATTATTATTATTATTTAGTATTTTTTTATTTAAATTCATATAAAAGTTTAAAGGACTACTGTCGCTGTAGCTGCATGTCACCCCACTTAAACTATCTCCATCATTATTATTATTATTATTATTGTTGTTGTTGTTGTTGTTGTTATTATTATTATTATTTAAATTGGATGAAATTTCGAAAAAAAAATTTTCTATTGGTTTATCAAATTCGTTTAATATTGTTAATGATATTTTTTCTATTGAATCTTTTAAAAATTGTGGTTTTAAACTATCTATAGAATTTGAAATGTATTTGTTAAGAGTATCGGATCTTGATAATGGTACGGGTATATCATATTTTATAACCCTGCTAAATAAACCTAAAGTGTTGTAATTAATATAATTGGTTTTTTTAATATGAATAATTGTAAATTTTTGTGATGATTTTAAAACGGTTTTTTTTTTTTTCTTTTTTTTTTTTGTTTTTTTTTTTTTGTTTTTTTTTTTTTTTTTTTAAAAATACCTACACGATGGATAAACTCCTCTGACATATAAGATGCAATGAAACGCTATTTCTAAAAATTCACTTATGCAATCATAAAAGTATTCATTCTCTTTTAACCCCATCTATATACACTACTAAACCTTTCCTCACAAAGAAAAAAAAAAACCTATAATTAGAGTATGTTATTAATGAGGTGTATAAAAAATAATTTGAAACTAATTTGTAAAAAAAAGAAAAAAGATAATTTGTTGAAAAAAAAATTAAAAAAAAAAAAATTTTAAAATAAATTAATTAATTTTAATTTTTTTAATATTTTTATTTTTTATTTTTGGGAATTTTTTTTATTTGTTTTTTGTTTCTTTGTTTGTGTGAAAAAAAAATATCCAATAATGTTGAAGCCACAGAATTTCTCAACTCTTCTCGTAATTTTTAAAAAAAAAAACCACCAAACTCTTTAATCTAGTGAATCTATCAATATGACCAATCACTTAATTAATTAAAAATATATAAAACACACACTTTTATGTGGGTGGTATCATTTTCATTGACAATCAACTCATCATAATACTATTTTGTTTTTTATTTTAAATTTATTTAATTATTTTTTTTATTTTTTTATTTTTTTTTCTATTTTTCAACATTCTTTGCAATTTTTTTATTTTTTTTATCTTTTTTAAATAAAGGAAATAATAATAAATGTTAATATTAATAAAAAATTAAAAAAAAGAAATCCTATTTCATTACATATTACATCATAAATAACAAAGAGAAATTGAAGATATTTTCGGTTTATTTTTATTTATATTTATCAAAACCTTTTTTTTTTTATAGTGAATATATATAATCACATTAAAACCTTTTTTTATTTTTTTTATATAGTATCAAAAAATAGAAAATATCATATATAACAATCCCGGTAAGTAAAGACAAAAAAAACTATATATATTATATTCATTTATAATTGTAAACAATGGTTTTTTTTTTTTTTTATTTTATTTTTTTTTTTTTTTTTTAATTTTTTTTTTTTTTTTCTTTTTTGATGGCCATTGTTGTGTCATTATACATCCACTTTTTTTTTTAAAAAAATGTGGATCTATAAAATCCAAATGACATTTTGGATAAAAACGCAATAAAATTCCAAATCAATCACCACCACTACGGAAAATTCCATATAATATATTTTTTATTATTTTTGTTGTTTATATTATAAAAATTAAAAAAAAAATAAATAAATAAAACCCACACTTTTTTTTTTTCCCTTATTTTAAACTAAAAAAAAAAATCCAACATTTACACTGAAATAAATAACTTTAAAAAATCATTAATAGATTACGCATTCTCATCTACCCACAAATTTCATACACATCAACCAATAACAATCTAATAACACGACTATTTCATTTTTATTTTTTTTATTTTACCAATAATTTAAAACAAAAAAATAAAATAAAA